ATATCGGCAAGAATACACACGATGCTTCAAGGGCTCCTTACTCTAGCGTATTGTCGTCAAAGACAAAGAGCCGTAGTAACGATAGTCATTTGCTTGTAGATCGTGACAGATCGTGACAAGTGTATTCAGTGAATTATCAGAATTATTCAGTTCTCGACTCGGACCACCAGTACCGGTGACCAGTACCGGTGACCAGAATTTCCTCTCTCTTCCGTGGAATGTTCCACTGGCTTCCTACGTCTTTCTGACGATTCAATCGAAGAGATTCTCAAGTATTCCTCGCGCTCGACGCTTTTGTCAACTATCCTAGTTGCAAAATCGATCTTTCAGATGTATTCAAAATCGATATTACGCTCATTGTACTATCAAGTATTGGGCCCAACCTTTGCTCTGACTCTCGAAATTTATCGCTACGTTCCTTCTCGGGAGGAAAATGACCGGGAACAGGTATCCCTCTGGAGTCTGATAGCGCAGTACTCGTAGTACGAACGGAGATCTATAGAGTGTGCCGTGACAAGGTTGAAAGATGATGCTTAGCTTCAGGTGAGTAGTTAAATATGTTCAATTTTCCTCATTGCGCATGTCTTTGTCTTTTTCTCTTTGATGGCCTCGAATCAAGTTTCTTTGTTACTTATACATAGCACAGTGGATGGCTATCGGGCCACAAATTTTCATTGTTATTTGGTATAAATAACGCCACTCTTGAGCTGCAGAAAGCCCACAACTACTTACTCTCACATCATGATGGACCCCGATCTCCTCACAAACGAAATGCTAGCTGAAGAATGGGACATATTCTCGTCCTCTTTAACAGGATATGCTCGCCTTGAACCTTCGAAAACCAAGATCAGTGATATAAGGGTACGTCTTGACCGGTAACAAGGCCGTTTATTAATGAATACGTCGTAGACCTCTCTTCGAGATTCACCAAATCATTGTGCACCGAAAACTCTCAGGCAGCTGCTCTGACTTCTATCTTCAATCCGCCTTATCTTGGCATCATGCTCAATAACTCGAAGTTTGGCGATTTGAGCTTTCCAGTTGACGACGGCTGAGCTTGAATATCGTGGTGTCGCTAGACGTGGGGCGATTGAGTTCCTTTCTCCATCTGTAAGGATCATCTTATGCTGGGGGTGCGCTACTGGCTAACGATCACTTCGCAGATCGAGTTCCAGAACCCTGAGTGGTCCGGGATAGTCACCACTGATCCAAGAACGCCGCAGACCTACTTTCGATGATGAGAATCCAAGCCTCGTTTTCACACTAGCTACATTCGTTGACGATACAGGAGAGAGGGGTGTCTCGGAAAAATCAGGCAAGGCTGGAATGTTCTTGCGAAAGCTATTACTTACGTGTGCAACACAGTACACAAAAATCCAACTCACACCAATCGCCATTTCGCCACTCTAATTGTTGTACTCCTACCGCTCCTCTGGCATCACTCTTGATGTCAAACACGGGACTTTCTTAAAGGAAACATTCACGGTGGCCAACAACCCTTGCAACAATCTACTATTTTCCTATGCACTTTGCCACTTTCTATGTTGGTATCGACGACGGTAGAAATTGGTTCCCAAGATTCGAGCTGTTTGTTTCTTGACATACCATCTCATTGCGCCTCCGACCGCAAGCCTCTTCTCAACATTAGCAGGAACATCACCTCTTGTTCCCGGACTGAGAGACACCTTCAAAGTCTGGCGCGAGAGGCTTCAGGCTGGCGTCGAAGCTCCTGAATTAGCTCTTTTCTTGCTCCATAACGATGGGTACTCTTACTATCGTAGTGACAAGGAAGATGACACTCTCCTAGCACACATTGCACCACTGGCGAAAATCTATGGGTTTGAGCTGGATATAGTCCAGGTTGACCAATGCCAAGAATCTATCCATACAATAGGCCATGCGTACAGGGATCTGGATGCTTTGCATGAAGATATGGACGTGAATTTGCGACTCTTGACATGGAAAAAGGGACAGGGTTTTACCACTAATGACATTGTTTTCTGGGATATTTTCTCGCATTCTTCGCGCGATGATCATTCGGATCGTGTTTTTACAGCGATTGAGGATGCTATTGCGTGCGATGGCTATATAAGCCATCATGGAGATGTCAAGGACCAAGAACCTCGTCGCGAAGTGGAAGGTTTAGAGGAAGGTGTAAGTACTTTAATACTCTCTACGATCTCCACTATGCTCACAGAGACCCAGAATTACGAAGACAAGGTGTGCTTGATGCATTGTAAGTACCCAGGCTGTTCTGTTCTACTTCATGATGCTCACAGAAATTTACAGTTCGCCAATTTAGTTTCCTTAGGGTTGTATTCAAATCCGAGTAATGAAGCCAAGAGTAATGAAGCCAAGTCCGAAGAGTGCACTTCGAAGTCTAATTATTATCGTACTATTATCGAATATTGATTGAATAAGTACTGTTGAAGTGCTCGAATACCGTATACTTATTAGTATTTGGCATACTATCGAAAAACTCCTAATACTGTACCAAGCTTCTAGTACGTTCTGAAATTCGAAATTACATGTCAGAGTTTTGACAGAACAGACTTGGATACGAGTTGAACAAATGATTACTTGTCGCTCGAGTTTCGTGATGGTAGATGGAAGGAAGGAAGGTCTATTACACGGCATGGTCCAAGTGCTGAACGCTGGTTCCAGAACATTCGGTGTGGCAAGCACCAGATGGAAACTTGCAGTTCAGGTAGGCCGGGAAACACCTGGAAAGCCGACCTCAAAAAAATCTTCATGGCGGGTAAATGCGAAATCATCGTGCACCTGCAATAAATGGATATGCGGAGACCTGGATCTCATCGATAGTAGCGAGGATGCGTGTCCCAGGTGAGGCAGATTACTAGAAAACTCAAGATTCGTGCGCAGATTGAGGGACGTCACTTAGACAGACGTCAAGGGAACGTTGAGTTTAGAGGTTCACATTGCGCTCCTGTATACTTAAGCGCCTAGTAGCTGTCAACTAGATCTGGTGTTATTCCAAGGCTACGTCTCCGTTAAGCATTGGATCGTATTGTTCTCCATCTAGGACATCGCATAACTTCAAGGTAACCAGAACTCCAGGTATCAACATTAATGACTTGGCTGAACAGATGAATGATGCCAGCCCCTTTTTAATAGATGGATGGATGGTTGTGAATGTGACGGGAAGCAGGGTGAATGATGGCTCTGTAATCGAAGAAGAAGAGATTTAGTAAATGAGAAATGTAACTTGAAGAAGAGTTGAATATGTATACATTACCGAGAATGTTCCGTTGACTGTATGGATTCAGAGACTACAGCGCACTACGATTTTGGAGCTAGAACCGACCCGAAGACTCCGAGTGGGAGTGGGCATCGTCCAAGGCACGTTGGATTAGTCTAAGATTAAAAATCTAAGAATAAAAACCGGTGTATGTGAGCAACGATTTGAACGAGGGAGCCACTACTTCAATCAAAGGAACTTTTTTTCCCAATAAAAAGAGATATCCAAGATTCAGTTTACGAGCTAATGTGCACGACTCGACTCGAACAATTTAGACGAAGCGGGTCTGGCGAGCAAACACAGAGGTAGGAGTGAAAATGATAGTCATCCATACTCTGTTAGAAAGATAGAGCGCAGGAAGATGACGAGCTGAAAGGGAGACTATTACCTATCGGACGCTTTTGTCGTCGCGTTCAGCGAATGCGCAAGGGCAATTGGAACGAAAACGTCGTGTTGAAATTTGACGTAACACATTCAAGGATGGCGAGGATGCAAGGGTACTTGGGTTCCGATAAAGCATCGATTCGAAACTGGTACGGGATGGATACGAATACATATAAGACATAGGAAAATAGGATAAGATGATAGAAATTATGGAGTTGACGGGTGAGTGTGATGAATTCGGATTCTTTCCTCAATCTGAAGAAAGCCCTGTACGATGTAGAGTCAATAAACGCAATAAACAGATAGAAGAGAAAAAGATACAACTTGCCTACAAGGTCCTCAGTCCAAGTTTATCAGTTTTCTCTCGCGCTGGTAGTTGCGCTTGTAGTAGTTGTAGTACTGGTACCACCGCCAACACCTTGAGCTCCGTTCGAATTCGAGGAGGCGGTGGCGGAGGAGGAGGAGGATGATGAGGATGAGGATAAGGATGAGACTGAATTGATTGCATGTGAGCTGTGTCGTGTCCCGCCTACAGCCCCTCCAATAATAGCAGCCAGTATAGCGAGTGCAACAAGAGATATTATGATTATCCCTGTGCGAGTACGATAAAAGGGAAGCTTGGGCGTTGTTCGGGTGTTCAGATGGGCTTCTTTGGACGGAGGCTGAGAGTTTTCCCCATTTTCAACAGCCGCGGGCGCTATCTGGCTCGATTTCGATCTCGCTTGAGTTTGTGCATCGAGGATATAGGGATTATATCCTTCTTGGACCATCTCCCTGGTCGCCTTGGGCGCTGAAGCAAGAAGGGAGGCGTCGTAGGACATTATGGATGGTATTAGTGTTCAGTGTTGTCGTTAATTCGTCCTGTATCTGCTCTCCAATCAATCTCGTATTCTCGCCCAATTCCAATTCCAAATCGAACGTTCAGACCTTGAAAGGTTTCTGAGGAGAATAAGCCTGCAGGAATAGTAGGCCGATGGTGAAGGAACGAAAGAAAAAACCTCGGACCTTCAAGTTCTTGGCGTTAGAGCGCACGGCGCACAGCCCATCCTCCGAGTTCCTGGAATCTTCAGCCGAGCCTTCAGGCCGCTTGTCGATCTGCCACTAGATGATTGGCCAATGTGACTGTCTCTGCGATACGAGTCCCGGATTCCAATTCTTGTCCTATCTTGTCGTGTCAAGTGTCATGTTCAATGTCAGCAGTCAAATATTACTAGAAGCAGGGAAGACAATATCAACCTCGGCATAATTTGGGAAGGAAGGAGGGTTCAAAAATTATTGGTATGTACGTTGTTGAATCATGCCTAATAGTTTGTTCAACAAAAAGATTGCAAAAAGAGATCAAAGCAAATTTCATTTATGGGGGTACCGCGGATCGAACGCGGGACCTTCAGAAAGAAACAAGTATACACCTCAGCGCGACTTCAGTCTGCTGCTCTCCCAGCTGAGCTATACCCCCATGAACTTTCTGGGGTATCCAAGTTGTTGTTTGTGTCCCATATACTTCTCTAAATTCTGCGCCATCTTCCCCCTGATTTTCTAAAGCATTTTCCAAAAATGAATAAACAGCCCGCCGATGTGTTGTGGGCAACCTGCGTTCAGCATTTGCGCCCACGCCTAAAGTCGTAGCGTCGGAAACAGATACAGATCTCAAAAAAAATGATGAAACAAACAGTCAGCTCATAGCCTCACCTCCCTCCAAGTCGCCATCGCGGCGCTGCTGCTGCCGCATGCGCATAGAATTGGTACAATGACGGAGCCGGGGATGCTCAAGCGATTCGGGTCTCTGAGTCTAGGCTCGGTTGGGAAAGCTATAACAGTTGACGTGGATGACGAAGAACACGGGTTTGAAAATAGGCGGTTTCGAGAAAGGTTGTACAGTAAAACAAAAATATCGAGTACTGTTGTAAAGATGTGACTAAGTTCTTTGATCCACAGGGAGAAACACTTGCGAGAAAATGGAATTGAAACCAGGTTCGTGATATTCAGATTATACTTCCAAATTCCATGAGCCTAGCTGAGGCTCGCACAAATGCTGGATAGTGAATCTCATCAGTGGTGACCACTAAATGCAGATAAAAACTCACGTTGAATTTTTTATGATATTCCGAAACCTCAATCTCACAATTAAACCCATCCCTAAATTTTATAATGAGCACTGAGGCGGAGACTCCGAGGTCCAAGCTCGAAAATTTGAACAGACGGGCAGTCTTCATTGAGCTCGCTGTAATAGTACGAATGAGAAGTTTACTAAGAGCAGGAAGAAAAAAAAGATACCGGAAGTTTTAACGTAGCGGAGCCAGATCCAGAGGTGATCGTCTAAGAATTGGTCTGTGCAGAGAAGACATCTCTAGTCCAGCTGTCATAATCTCCCCGTTTAAGGTTACAATCGTAGAAATAATCCATGATTTTCGACAGATAATCCTTGTCCGAATGCGCTTCAAGCGTTTTGCGTAGAAATCTCGATTCAACTTCCATTTTCCCGAAGCGTTCCTGACAAGAAATAACGAAGATGATTCACAGAATACCGGGACCAGACACCATATCTTGCAGAAAGGGGAGTCCAGGCTGAAAAACAGTTAGTAGCACTAACTAGTGTCATGTATACAAAACACACTCGTTCGCGTCCATATGGGTATCAAAGCCCAGTCCTTAATAACATTGAGCGCCTAAGTATTAGTATCAGCGTTAGATGCTCATTAGAACGCAAACGGTTCAAGTTGAAAAGTACTTGCATAGTAATTCATTGTCTCCAGTCACTCGAGTCGAGATAGAATGCCAGAAAGTGAAGCATGAGCCGGTGGCCCTACTTCACGTTCTTCAAGGACTTGCAGAAGTGGGTACGAGAGGTAATCTTTCAAGAGGGGGATGGTATTTTAACTTGTCACCAAGCTCTTCGATTGCATCGTTGATTGGGTCGTCGCTTCGAGACCGATAACAGCGTAAAATCGTCTCAGGCCCCGCAGCGAGAGCAAGAGAGGTGATATCTGTCAAGTTCCAGTTCTAGGGCAGCAAGTATCGAGTGCAGACACCTACCGTCGAGCGTCGGACCACTGAATTCGTCCTGAAAGCTGTAACGTGCCAGGTTTTTCAGGAAGAAGATACAGTATATAACTCTTGTGTAGAGAATTTAGAGAAGAATGCCTTTCTTTTCAAACGTTCTTCGCGAAGCTCGTCCATCTCCTTCTGTGGATCTCGGTCGACCTCTTGGACATAGGAATATTTGTTCGTGGGGAAGTCGCAATTGTAGAACATTATGCGATATACCGCACGACGGAATCGTATTGATTCCGGGGGTTCAAGTCGACGGACGGTCAATGTGCCTATGAGATTATGAGTTGTAAATGAATTTCGGCGCAAAACAAGTAGTTGCCACTGACATGAAACTAAACATATTTTCCAGCCTTGTTACTATACGGCGCTCGATGCTTTTTATGGATTTTCTTTCGCGTGCCGTCATGGGAATATCTGTTTCCAGTGCTTGCGTAAATGTACCATCTTTATTTTTCAAGGAAGTACGGTAACGATAGAGCTCGAGTGCTTGAGGAAAGGTTGGGCCCAATACGTGATAGTACAATGAACGTAATATCGATTTTGGATACATCTGAAAGACATAATAGATTGATTTTGCAACTAGGATAGTTGACAAAAGTGTCGAGCGCGATGAGGAATACTTGAGAATCTCTACGATTAAATCGTCAGAAAGATGTAGGAAGCCAGTGGAACATTCCATGGAAGAGAGAGGGTAAAGGAAGGAAATTCTGGTCACTGGTACTCGTGGTCGAGACTGAATGCACTTGTCACGATCTGTCACGATCCACAAGCTTGGCAAGTGACTAGCGTTACTACGGCTCTTTGGTCTTTGACGACAATACGCTGGAGTAAGGAGCCCTTGAAGTCGGAGATATTCCTAGAAAATCATCGTCCGGATTTCCTCAGGAAGACTATAACAGTCTCTCAACTGTAAGTCGAACCCAAGCTGTATCATTTCTTTGTACTCAAGACAAATTACAGAATCCCTCCAACTCTTATGGTGAACCTTTCAGGCGAACAGAGCTTCCGGCTACGGACCAATCTGGACTTTGTAGCGCTGCGCCAAAGGCTGCGTTCAGAGTATGGTTCTTCTGTACAAACCGAAGCAGACATAGACGGTATCGTCTCCGACGTTGAAAAAGACCTCGAGGATTGCGACGCCGAGATTGACCGTCTCCAGTCGCGTATTCTTGTTCTTCAGAACCAGCGTCGGCTATTGGAGAGATACAGAACTCATTCGTGCTCCCTCCGATCTCCCGTTCGGAAGATTCCGAACGAAACCGTCCAGCAGATCTTTGATTATGCTTGTGGTATGAACAAGCTCACCTCAAAGAAATTTAGGGATATGCCTACCTTGACCATTAGCAATGTGTGCTTGCGTTGGCGAAGCCTTGTGAAGGCATGTCCTGCACTATGGTCTCGTATTCATTTCAAGATGGAGTCGGTCCCTTCCCACAATTTTTCGGTTCTGGATCTATACCTCGAATCTTCCCAACAATCTCCTCTCATCATTGAAATTACCGGAAAGCCTGAAGCGCTTCAGCCGCACCATGCAGCTGTGTGTGACGCTCTTGTTGGACATGTTAACCGTTGGCAGCAGCTTTCAGTGCAGGGATTTGAGGTCTATAAATCACTGACCTGGCATCCTCGCCATTACCCGGCACTGCAAAGACTGTTGTGTCCACATTTAGATCTCTACCCAGCTGGCCTAGAAGATTTCAAAGATGCTCCGCAACTGTGCTGCCTTTCTGTTGGATTCATTCCTTCAGTGGATCTTGGTGAAATCCAATTTCCATGGAAGCAGCTCAAACTACTTGCCATGGGGCACCATCCTAGTGGAATGAAAAACATTCTAGATGTGTGCGATAAACTGACAGAGTTGCAATTCCAAGAAGTGGGTATTAAACCAGGATCCTATGAACTTTCTTTACCTCCCACAATGGCTTCGGTTCTTGAGACACTATCCTTGTCAGTATCTCAGACAGGATTGTCTGAGAGCTTGGCTGAAGTGGTCTTCTCATCGATGGCATGCCCTTCTTTGACCTCTTTGCTTCTTGAGGCCAGGAATAATTACCAGCGACCATGGCCCAAGAAAGCACTATGCGCTTTCATATCTCGGTCATCATTCAATCTCACCACTCTCTCCATCAAGTTTATCCCACTCTCAGATGCTGACCTTATTGATTTACTCCATTCCCTTCCTTCCCTCCTAGATCTCACCATAGATGACTCCAGGTTGTTTGCTACCACTGCTACCAAACCCAGTCCCATTACCCCTCGGCTCATACAAAGCCTACATGCCTGTCCCTTCGACGCCTCCTCGGTGTTGGTACAGAAGCTACAACATCTCCATATGACATTTAGCGGCTCCAGCTTTAACGATGGGGACTTCATTGATATGGTGTCTTCGAGGTGGTTATCTGATAACCTTGATAATTTTTTGGATTCTGGAGTGGGTACGGTATGCTTGCGTTCGGCGGTGATGTGTTTTAAGAATCGAGAGGTGGATGAGAACATTTATCGTCGACTGAGGCATGTGGAAAAGGCGGGTATGAGGGTCGTTGGTATTGGAAAAAGTTCCTAGTGTTAGTATACTCACCGTTTATATTTGATATAATAATACAAAGCGGTAGCCCAATGGCGTTCGAATACCACACTGTTGCTTGAAATGAAGGATCGCTGCTAGGTGCTACTAAATACTTATTCAAGATCATCCTGGTGATATATTGGAATGACAATGTCATCCAATAAGTGAACAGTGCGGTTGACCAGGTCATAACTAATTGCCCTTTCCTTAGACCATTCCAAGAGGTTTTCGAACTTGATACACTGGTGAACAGTATCATCCTGAGGAACAATCAGTCCCCGGTATTCCTCCCAAGCCCAAGTGATCGTGCTGATGTCTGCTTTGCACATCAGAGTCTGGCGCAGCGAATCTATACAATGACTGGTATGGAACTCCCATATCGGGTCAGACCTATTTTGCGCTGGATAGTGTTCGAAGAAAACAGCCTTTCGAATAGTGTCCTAGAAATTATCAATTGACCTTAGACTTGGATATGACCCATATTCAGCGCGACTAACCAGACAATGAAGGTCATGAAAAACATATAAAGCGCCAATATAAGAGCCCTCGCTGTCTCCTGGAATGGGTACGGTTTTATTAGGCAACAGTGCTGCTTGCTCCTTTGAGATTCTCGATACTTCCCCGACTAGGAGGCATTCGTCAGTCCAATTCCATGGTTCGAGATAATTTCACTGACCTTCGTATAAGTCCTCCCATGCTTGATCAATTTCCGGCGTGAATCCCTGGTAGGCGGAGTAGTCGCCATGAAACCCGCTGTGGAAGACTCGCAGGTCGAACTCAAGCACATCTCCTGCGGGAGCTTGATAATCGGGGTTAGCCAGGCGGATGCAACTAGATGA